TAAAATAAAGTGGTCTGTTTTTTTGTAAAGTATGTCCTAATACCACAGTCCTCCTACTGATACAGATATTTAGCAAAAAGGCAACAATACAATATAACAATGGTAGCAACACTTAAGATAGAAACTGAACAGGACCTCCAGCTGCCACATCAATAAAGAGTCTAAACTAAGAAATGTTATGTTATTAGCAATAAAAAATATTAAGGCTAATTTATAACACATTTAATCCAAGATTACTTCTCCAATTATTCACTTATTTAATATCTACACCTATTTCCCACATAATAGATTATACGCACATCTAAACACCAGTACTACTACTAAAAAACATTACTGATGTAGGATCCTAAAGGTTCAGAGAAAATTTACTTACAGGGTGAAAATTCAGTACCCATCTAGGTGCAGCACAGCAGCCATTGTGCACCAGCAGTCTCACTACACAGCTGATCAGGTAGAGAAGTGAAAAATTTCATCACTAACTGTATTATGGGAGAACTTTTGGCAGGCCAGACTATGCAAGTCTAAACCAGATTTTAGCAAGGAAACTGGGGTAAACACTACTATAAACACTGCAATGAGATTTTTAAAGACCACATCTAGGTCCAATGTATTATCTGAAGTACAAAGCAATACAGCACTGGTTTTGGTAAAACTGCTACATACTGGGCCTCGACTTAAAGCAGAAACTTGGATTGTTTCAAAGATCACCAATTACTGTCTTATGGATTTAAAAAAAAGAATTTGTATTCATTTCTAAGGGCTAACCACCCTCATCGTGTCAACTTTGGAAATGAGTTATCTCAACAACACATTCAATGAATTCTACAAATCCACAAACATACTATATGCTAACAACAATAGTAACTCATTCTAATTAGTTACTGCACCACTTACACCTAGCTGTATTCTGTACATATGGTACCTATTTCTGTAAAATAAAAAAGAATAGTCTCTTCTATTAGAAATCATTTACAGTATCTTTAAAACAGCTCCTTTTTCTTTAGAGACCTTCTTGCAATATATTGGTTTTCTGACCCAAATCTACAAATAAAAAGCAGCATCATGTTGCAATTACTAGGCAGTGGTTTCCTTATTATTTGTTGTGAAAATGTTGCAATGCAACAGTCCTTGAGCACAGCAGAAAAAACAGAATAGCTGTACATTGTTATAAATGACAATAATGGGAACAGCAATCCTTGACCTGCCATAGCAACACTTGTCTTCTACTTTGCTGTGTATGGTTCAGAAAATCCATTGACTTGCAGCTTTGCTTTGCTCCTTAGCAGTTGGGTTTTCACATTAGGTGGTCTTTTGAGACTTCCCCTGTCAGCTGCAAAGCCTTTATGTGGGAGCATTACAAAATTCCCAATTTTGCGTTGCTTTCTTGGCTGGGGTGGGTGTTTTATGAATGTTCACTTTTTCTTAACTTTGTTAAGAAGGCTGGCTCAATGATACCCCCTCCCTCACAAACACACTTGTAACAACACTCTGTGTACACTGGGTCCACCAAGAATATACTCATGACCCTTTGGAGGTGGTCTTTAACCAACAGTAATTTATGACAATTGTTCTTTCACTGCACCAGAGAAGCATTTCTGTCTTCGTTTTCTGTCTTCATTCCAGAACCAGGGGTGTTTTATCATCATTGATAAGCGAAAAGAGGTGTCATGTGTGGGCAGGGACACGAGAACCTCCACGTTTAAAAGCAATGATCTGGAATACATTTTGATCCTAGGAACTGTAACGCACTGACAAAAAGTGCTTTAAGGAACATTAAAATTAACCAAAAACTGTAAATACCCATCCCTTTCTAAAAATGCCTACAATTCTCTGTACCAAGAGCATCCTAAAAAAGTGCTTCTGCCTACATCGCTTGGATTCATTAGCATACTGTAGGAGCCAGAGTGAATCTGGTCATGTACATCTAAAAACATCTAGCACCTGTGTAAGCTTCACACTTATATATATGCCAAGAGGCATTCAAGACAAGAAATGCTACTGGTGTCGATACTTACTTGTAGCATTTTTAATATTTCTCAGTATGTGAAGCCTATTTCTGGAGATGTCATCCTTTTTGGAGTCCAATAGCTTTTTATTAAAATTGGAGGGTTTACTGCAATCTTGAAGTAGCACAATAGATTAATCTAGAAGCAAACACTTTGTAGTTCAGTATTGAATAGCTTGACCGAGACAGAACACTCTCAAGCTATTTCAGAAACAAGTGTTGCTAATGAATGGGTATAGAATGACAGAATTACAAGTCACAAGCCTTAATATCGATGCAGAGCTGGCTCTCATCTCAAAACAGAAAAGGTTTATAAGCAAAACAACACAATTCTGGGACCATGCCGTTTTCAGAAAATAAAGCAAACAGTGTATACATTATAGCCCGAATGTTTAATTAAAAGTATTACGTTTAAATTTCATACAGCTTTTTATTTGAAGTTAAAGTAGTCATATGTATGTCTCATGTGGGAAAAAGGATGTAACGTAATGCAAGTAGAATGATAAATAAAATGGAAGACAAGAATGGAAATATCATTAAAACTCCATTATAGGAGTTTTTCCTAGTTTGCACACTTAACCATTCTTCTAGAAAGCCAAAATCAACAACCCACATAAGAAACAGACTTAGCTCCATTGTACTGAAAGAAAATATAGCCCAAGTTAAACTTTCTGCTCGGGTTTCTGCAGCACAACAGCAGAATCTTCGTATATGTACAGTACTTTACACGGCAGCAGGGACACTACATATACAGTACCAAGTTCCCTGTTTATTTTGTACTTATTCTAACCAGCACACATTTGTTTGCAGTTTATAGGTTAGTATAGAAAATGATGGTAAGCTTAGGACATGCATGGTATCTACAGATAACGAACATCACACACTTTGATGCATTTTGGATTTGATGTATTAGATCTTTTTCTCAATTGAAAACCTGGGTCTGGACTGCACTAGAATCTGAAGGGCTCTTGGCATTGTACTATGAGGTGGATAACAGTCTGCAATAGAGTGGCTGCTCACTTAGGGGTGAAAGGGTAACTCAGCGCTCATGTTCCTTGATTCATGCTTTATAATCTTAGGACTGTCATCACAGTAGCCTGTCACGGGAAACTGGTGGGTTCTGACAAGTTCATTCTAGGATGCGCTGAGACGATCAACTTTTCACCTACTTTTCATTAAATCTTAAATCACCGAGACAGGTCTGTTTGCTTGTACCGAGGAATAAAAACTCAACGTAAAATATGAGCCTCGTGGACACCATTAACAGAACCAACAAATATTCTTTTTAAAATGTTTAAGATTTACGCATTAAAACATGTTTTTCTGTCCCCCCAATGTATAATTTCGTGATTATGAAGCACAAGAGGTGTTTAAAATGAAGACGAAGGAGAGTCCCGTACTTTTTTACTGTATTCCAACAGGAATAAATTCAACTATTAAAGTTTCAAACTTGTATTCTTTTTATGAGGTTTACTCTAAGTCCGAAACGTAAATTCATACGGATATATTAAATACTGTGTAAGCCAAGGAACCATTTTGATTTCCCTTACCTATGCAAAAATAATACTGGCAGAAACTAGGAAGAAACCTGATTAAAAGTCCTAATGGCTAGGAATCAAGATGTAGTAATAATAAAGGTAACTACAGTATATATGCAGTCTGCTGCGCTGCACAAGACACGATGTGATTTTTAATGCATGATTTGGACTTGCTTTCATTATTTTCAGGAGAAACAACAAGACTTTTCAGTGTTATTAAAAATGTTAGCATAAGGTTGCAAATTACACCTTTTCCGTGACTCGAAGCTTGCACACGTCTTTAGATATCAAATTAGCAACGACCAAATAATGTGAAAATCTAACAGTTCTATTTGTGAAAATAAGGCACGCAAGTGATGCATTACTACATCTTTACATTTAATCAGTTTTTGTCTTCTCCACACGACCCTAAAGAACGCAAGACACCTTGGAGGAGTGGAATTAATTTATTGTTTTAATTTGTTAGCCGACATACAGTTCGTTAAACTGCAGTTGAGGCTTTAATTCTGAAGAAATACATGCACTAAAACAAAGCCAGAGTCGCTCGATACGCCAAAAGACACAAGTGTCTTTTTTTTTTTAACAATATTGGAAGTGGCAACAAAAACAGGGGTACTAAATAAAGGCAGATGTTTGCACCCAGTAGACGTCTTAGAAGATTACCTACCCTGGTGTTTAATTTACTAACCAATTTCTTTCCCCTCAGTATTTGAGCAGTTCAGCAACATGAGCATGTGCGACACCGGGGTAAAGATCTGAATGCTTCGTATAAATTACAGATCAGCACCTAAAAAATGAGGACCTGGGGAATAAAAGCTCTTTACCTTTGGGAAAAAAAAAAACATCTGAATGCTGAAGGAGACAGTCTCTTTCCTTTAAATTTTAATAAGTAAAGGTCACGTGAAATGCATGGGGGAGCTAGGTCTTGTATCTGTAGAACCGGAGAGGAGGGGGTTGAGAAAGGGACCCGGACTGTCATAGGGTGGGGTTCAATTCTCCGAGCAATTCTTTCATCGCGCACCTGCTCCGCACAATCTGTACGGTATCTTGAATCGCCTCAGTAACGCTTTTGAAAACTGTTCTCTACTTGAAAGGCAAACACTGAAAGAATAAATAAAAAAAAAACGAACGCTTTGTTCAACTTTTTACAAAGCGAGGAGACACAAAGCTCCCACAACACTGTGACTATAACAATTTCTCTTAAATTGCTATTTCGCTAAGGTCGCGTTCTTTGTCTGCCAGCGTGCGAAAAGATTCGTAGAGTAGGAGCAGTAGGTATCTGAAACCGGAGAGCGTGTATCAAGCTGTTTTTTTTTCCTCTCTCAGCACAGCTCCCCTGACCACAATGAAGAACAGACACGTATTATCAATATACCTACACACTCGGATACAAACACACACACGCACGCATGCCTAGCAAAGCCATGTTGTGCACACACAGTAAAACCAACCCTTACCTGTGCAGTCGGCACCTTTCCCTTTACCAGACTGGCAGTCGCTGCCCTGGGGATAAGATGCACGGGTCCCTGGCAATGAAGCGATGGCCAGGAAACAAAAAAGTGAAAAGTAATAGCAAGCCAAGGGTCCGATCCACCTAGCAGGGTGCAAACCTCCCACCATGATGAAAAAGAGTATCGTATGGACAGCTGAAGCAGGCCGCCGAATGCCAGCAATCACTCTTTTCCTGCCCCCTTTGTTGAATTCCAAAAATAATTAACAAAATTAATGGATGAATGAACAGGATGCCTGCGTGAGAGAAGAGGCAGAGCAAGGTAACGGGCACCCGAGGATCTTCGGGAAGGAATGCATGTATTGTGAAAGAATATCCTGCGCACGTTTTACTCCAGATTTAATGAGTGATGTTAGCTTCTCTCAACAGTATCGGCAGGGATTTTTTCCCAGAGTGGTAATCGCAGCGACAGCATCACCTCCGGCCCTCCGCACAGAAGCTTCCTACACGCTCCAGGATTTTTATCACTTTTTTTTTCTTCTGCCGTCCCCGGATTTCACACCCTCGCTATCTCGCTCTCTCTTTCTCCTCCTTTCTTCTGCTCCTTCCCTGCGGGTACCTCCGTCCCACCGCCGCGGTCCTTTCCCCTCTTTTCCTCCTTGTTTAAAAAAAAAAACAATAACTAAAAAGGGGAAAAGCCACCCCGACTGAAAACAGCAGCAGCAGCTGCAGCAACAACAACAAAGAGACTTGAGGGGGGAGCGGGTCACGTGACGTTACCCCCCCCCCGCCCGTACCAGCCCCCCTCCCTCGCCTGGGGTCGGGCTAACAGAGTACAATACAATAGCGAAGGGGGTCTGGTACTCACCTCTGTCTCCTTTCAAATAATGTAACAGGACACCAACAATGATACAAGACAGCAGTTACACTGAAGGAGTTCAAATAGCTTTTGCTTGAAAAAATAACACGCAAAAATACAGCAATTACCGATGTGACTGGAGAAAAAAAAATACCCAACTGTAGAAATGTGTTTATTACAGTTCTGTTGATTACGGTCGTGAAAATGCTTATAGCTTCACACATTTTCAAATTAAGAGTAGAAAATTTCATTTGTTTAAAATCTTTTACTAAGTAAAATTGCTTAAATTCCAAATTTTGTTCAAACCAAAGATACAGGCTATATTGGTATTTATTATTAGGCCGCTGATTAAGTATGTCGGAAAACTTAAAAGGAAAAGAATAATCCATGATATTTTAAATTAAAGGCAAATGGGTGATAGACGGCATGTACTGTAAGTCTGATGGTGCGCTTCAGGCGTAAAATTAAATAAAGGGGTACAGCCCTTGAGGACGATTTTGGTTAGAACTTGTACTAGCAGTCGCAGACCGTAATAAACATCTCCGTAATACATAAATCCGGGACTACCCAATATATTTTAGTTGCGTTAATCTTTAACTATACAGTCAGGGGTCGGCTGCACCCAGTTGTCTTCTAAATCAGCGACAGTATCCTGGCAATATCAGATATGGGATACCAAAACGTAGGTAAAACAGGTACATCAAGCCGTGTACAAACTCCATCCTGTTCTGAATCAAATTTGCACTTACAACTAATACATTCTGTTAAGAACGATTAGCATAGTAAACAATGATGTAGATGGGTCGTTCTGCATTCAAGCCTCGGCGGCCCATCGGTCCATGGATTCTGCTGCTTTCCTCGGCGTTAGACACCGCCTGGATGATACTGTAAACCAGTCCACCGTAGAGCCTACCCGCAGGCAGACGCCGGTCTCCATTCCTACAGCTGGGTGGATTAGATCAATGGGGCTACAGCATCCATCTGCAAGTACAACAGCACTATCTGTAGCAGGAAGGTGAACCCAGACTGCATCACTCATTGAGGCCAGAAGAGAGAAACGAAAATTACTACTTAACTTAATATTATACAATTTGCGCCGTCTTATTGTCCTGGTTTTAGTATTAAAACGCTAGATTTGTCTTCAAAACTGTTGCTGTACTTGTAGCCTGGACAATTGCACGTAAGCTGCAGAAATATACAGTAGTCATCGCCGACCTTTAACCGGGTTTACCTGTCTTGGCTCAGTTCCCATTGATAAAAAAAAATGGAAACGCGCCCTCTATTACGTCACAGTGTGATAATAAATTTATTTGGGCACCACCGTCTAGAATATCCAGCTCGGTTTTCCTCCTATCATTTTTTACATAGAGAAACAGTCTGCAATCGTAGTCTATAACGTTCAGAGGACAGAAGTGCCTAACTAGCAAAACACAGAATTGAAATTTCAGGCAGATCATCTGATTTTTTTTTTCATTGATTAGTTCAGATCTTTTTTATTTTTTGTTCTTATTTGGCTCTCACATCAAGAGACACACTCACCCTCATTGGAAACTTCTCCATGAATGTAAAACGGAATTCTATAATGTTGTCAAATATTTTATTAACAGTTCATGTCGAATGTGAAATAACACATCATATGACAATTTTTAATTTTTGCAGTATCCTTTTCCCTTGTAACTAGAAAATAAGTAATAGCACATAATATACTGGGGAGTGTGGTGTATTATTGCCTGCATCATAGAACATTGTCAGCACAAAGTCTAGACAAATTAATGCATGGCATTAATCATATCTTGCACATCAACCTATAATTGAAACAGTTACACTCACAGTTTCATGTATTTCTAAATACAGCATAGAGGTATTATATAATAGTGTTGTAAGATATTTTATTAAAAGTTCATGTTGAGTGTGTAGTAACCAGTGTGCACTTTATGTTGTTATAATAACACATCATATGACAATTTTTAATTGTAGCTGTATCCTTTTCCCTTGTAACTAGAAAATAAGCATGGAGAGCAAGGTGGGATATGCAAAAAGACAAATTCCTAATGCAAGAAATTGTATATGGCTAATAAAGTGATCTTATCTTATAACTTCTTTTAGTGACAGGAAATAAAAATGGTACCATATTAACACAATGTCTTTCAAGAAAACGTCCCTTTTCACAATTCAATAATGCATTGCAGTGTAAGCAACTGTAATATGAAGTACAGTATAAGCATTTGTAGTAGCACATTTCAGAGACCCTACTGCAGATTTGTTTCTATTCTCAGTATTGTTTCTCACTTTAGCATTATCGACACTACTTCTGTTCACAGAGACAAGGCAGTCGTTTAATAAAATATGGTGATAATAGCAAAAATGTGTGCAATGCTAGGTTTGGTGTTATGAACGCTGAGAAGAAAATGTTCCAGCAGAGAGCAGGTTCTGAGTGCAGGTGAGTCATTCAAGTAGGAGGCTATGACTTTAAGTATCCAGGGACTGAACTGGTCAGTCTTTATCTCTGGCAGAAAACCAACATCTGGCAGGGATGGTTCACCTACTGTACCAATTCAGAGAACACACTGTTTACTACTAGGCTTCTAACAGAAGGCAACCCAATCAATTTTTGTACTCTTTCCTGGCCACGCTGATTACTTTTGTAAACAGAAAAGGCTTGAATGAAAAGGTGATGATATACCTTTAGACCTTTTCCTCTGATTGCCATTACTCTGGAATGACAGACATGGGAGCAAAGTGTGAATATGTGAATAAGAATAGCATTTTAATGGGGATGAATTTAGGAAGCAGAAACAAAAAAAGAACATTAGATTAAATGGAGATTAATATTACATTCAAAAGATAGTTAATACTAAAATCGGAAATGCTTTGTCAGCATAATTTTGTTAGAACTGTAATATTTTTTCATTCTTTGAATAATAATGGAAATATTTATTTGGTATAAGGGTCTTTAGTACACGTTTAGTGTATATAAAAAGATGGATATAAAGGATCAAGAAAGTGCTGTGGGCATACTCAGTTCAGGACTGCTGCCAACCTTGTGCTGGTTGTTACCGCTGCAGTTTCAGGTAGGTATCAGGTTGTGTGGCATCATACGTTTGCATTAGCAGAGAACTCTACAGAACTGTATGTGTCTTCAGAGGATGTCTGGGCAGACCTGTCCATTTATATCAAGATGGGGGGGGTGGAAATCTGATTTTCCAAACTGAGGTAATTTCTTTAACACAACCAAATGCACAATACCATTTTGCCACAGTGTCCCTGCAGTGTGAGTGTTCCTTGGCCAATCTTGTTACTTGACGTGGCGCAGACTGAATGCCCTTGCAATGAATATGGATGTTCACTACAAAGTCTTCAGATTAAATCTTCTCCTTGTTTGGGAGCAGAAGAGGACACTTTATGCATCAATCCATTAATCTGGTCAATCGGAAATTATACAGTTATACAGGCTGTATAACTGCTGAATAACATATGGTACCATATCAAGTACCCGAGATAATTTGTGCCAAACTGACATTTCTGAAAACTGAAGAACTGTGTTCTTCAGAAATGTGTTAGTTTCTGAAATTTTATGTGAAGAAGAGTTACCTTCAAAAGGGTATGTGTTTGTTTATTATAACTGGTCATTAGAAGCTCCCAACTGGCTCAACCAGCAAACCTGTTCATTTAGTGCACCAGTTGGATTCTGGGATATGTCAGTAGCCTTCTGGAGTTCCACACTGACAGGGTTCCACTGACAGCATCCCCTAAGATGTACTAGGCACTTGTGAGCTTGCAATGTGTCACTGTTAATGTGGGACTTGCAAAGTGATGGGTTTGATAAGTTTCAGAGGAAAACACATATGGTCCTCATCCACACAGTTATGAGAACCTAACCAGTAAAGATGAGGTGATTAACAATAGATTATTCTAAACTAGGAGGGAATAAAAAGCAGAGAAATTGAGGATTTTAGATTTAAAAGTTTTTGGTCATTTTATGCACCCATTTACTTTTACTTTTTTACTTTACCATTCAGCAATGTTTATCATTATTTGCAATTCACAGTTATAAAGCTACACAGGAGAAGTATCCCTTTTGATTTTTTTCCCTTCTATAAAACTACGATAAACATAAGGTTTTCAGATAATACAATACCATTGTATTATACCTGAAGAAGGCTACACACCCAAAAACATTGTGCTTCTTTTCTTCTCTTTTCAGCATGGAATAAACCTTGACTTGTTCCTCCTAATAAGAGGAGTTGCAAACACTATAGAGACAGAAAGTTAAATTCAAAAGAATTTCGATTAAATTCAAAACTGGGCAAACCCCCAGCAGGTGGTGATTAGTGTAGACAAGTACAGAATATTACAGCAAGAACATAAACTTTACATATAAAATGGGAAACACTGAACTGGAGAAGTCTACTGAAGAAAAATATTTATAGTGTAGATGTTTATATTGACATAATTTACATATTCTTGATAATGTGGAGAGCCAATACAAAGTAAAAAGAAAATGTTCTGATATACTGTATAGGTGTAAGTGTAGAGTGTAAGTCAAAGAATGACATATTAAACTACTACTATCTACTAAGACTAAATTTAGAATATTGTGCAAAAGTTTGTTCATCAAAATACAAGAAAAATATTTCTGGTCTGGATTCATTTCAGATAACAGTCACTAGGTACATTCATGGGTTTAAAGCAATATTCTATACTGACAGGCTAAAAGAGATTAACCATTTTAGTCTTGAACAGAGAAGACTGTGAAGCTAACCTGATCCAAGTATTCAAAACGTTTAGAGGCATTGAAAAGTCATCCCAGTAGACTTCTTCAGTAATAAATAGAAAAAATACGAACAAAACGAAACCAGTCAAATCTAAAATACTACAAAGGGCCTCAATAACAGAAAAGGGGAGGCACTTCTTCATTCAAAGGACTGTGGGAGGCTGAAACAATGTATCCCGCAATTTGTGAAAGCCAACAACAACAATTCATCAATTAACAGTTGGCTACCAAACAGGCAAGATGGCCACATCTTGTTTGTAAACTTTCTTAGTTATATACACTGAGTGATTCTTAGTGCTACTACCGCACATCTCCCTGGGTTATTATTGTGATTTGACCCATGATAGATGAACCAAACATTGGACTTAGACCAAAGAGTGAGCTCGTTAGAATTCTGTTCTCAGTCATTGCATGCTTTGTGGTGGTCCGGGTTATGTTTCCATATTGCTTTACCATCTGTATTAACAATCCCCCTTCAAATCCGACCCAACCCCCTAGTGTGTAGTTCTAATCCCTGCATCAGACCAGACCAGGAGTGAAGTTTAACCTCATTAAATCCTCTGGTTGCCTGTCAGGACCTGCTGACGGCATCCCGCTAGTCATTGCTAAGGATTTATAGAATGCTGAAATACATTTTTGGTAACATATTTTGGTACTGTAAACAGCTCCCCCACAAAAAAAAACTTCAGACGCTGGATTACATTTAGACAGTATTACTTGGTGCAAATGGATATGTGCATGTGAATTTGTAAGATGTTTTCAAAGCCCAGGTAGATACACTATTTTAACCATTTTCTGACTCATTACTTGATTTTGCCTTGGCTTTGCAGTTTCTTGTCTTATGAGGCTTCAATTAATAAATTCAAGGCCAGAGAATAAGCACAGACAAATTATAAATTGTTTGGTCTCTAGCTCAGGACTCAATTAATTTTTCTCATAGCATGGTGAACTGGAAAATACTGACATGACCACAGTACATCCTCCTGGAAGCGGTATATTTTTAGAAATGGTCAACTGCACGTGAAACTGTACGACGCTAACAAACAGCTTGTTATATACACTGCAGCCTGCTTCACCATTTCTTCTTATTAGTGAGTAGGAAATGTGAAAAAGTAAGGCTGGAAGACTGCAGATTTAAAAGGTATATGTGGTTCAAGGTACAGTCGCTGTGTAATACAAGCTTAGAAACACATTAAAGCATTTCTAAAAACTTAACAATTATGTGATTTAAAAAGTGAGGGTCTGGATGGAACACAAGTCAACATTCCTTTGAGCACTCTGAAAGCAGAGTTAAACACTTTTATAGAAAATCAGGTTAATACTATTGTCACGTAATCCCTCCCCCTTAAGGGCGCTCCAGGTCGTTCACAGTTTAGCTGATTTTGTGCACCTGCTTCCTGTTCCAGCCTCCCTACAAAAGC